ATACAGGCACAGCGAATATCTTCATGCAATTTACGACGTATTGGCGAAATATCTCGTCTATCAGGGCCATATTCCTAGAAACGCACAACTGCAATTCTGGCATTCGATTCGAGGAATACATCAGAGAGTGTGCATATGCTCTGACGCGGTTTGCGATTTAATGCGTCTATTCGAAACACAGGAGGGTAGTTCATCCACCTTCGAGCGAGGGGAGCACGGAGGGAAGATTGAGAGCTTGCTGCTGCATGCTCGGAACGCCGTCGGAAAGTGGAGCGCGTTGTCTTCTTTTCGCAAGACAAATTCTTAAGACCGCGAGAACGGACAAACGTATCGAGATAGCAATCGCCGTCTATAAATTAAAGCAACGAGGGCGGTAGCCTTTTATCGCGATTAAATCGATACAACGTTAAATAGCGACGGGCGGATGTCGCTCGTTTCATGTATACACCTTTGATGTCGCGGCGCGCGAAGTGTCCTCCTTTCGAAACCGCTCTTGAGGTCGCATCGCATTGTCATTACATCGCATATTACAAGGGCTGCGTCAAGTTATATGGCCACGCGTATCCGCGATATTACGCGTCGCATCAACCAAAATTGCATCTGTGCGAACTCTTCAGTTACGCGATTCCGCGAGATACACGACACACGAGGCATTTTACGACGAATATTTTGCATCATTCTTCGATATATTTTGCAGGATTCAATTAATTTTAAATATACTGCAAATTCCGATATGTCATATTATAATTTAATTATTTAGATATCTGACAAGTTTCTTTGTCCACTGTAATCACTTTAATTATATAATTATTTTAAAATAACATATCCGTCTCTCTTACAGTTTATTATATTTATAATTAAATTACATCCCTTCGTAATTCAGTTGTGTATCGAATTTAAGTATACAAAAGTTTCTCCGAGTATGAGGAACACACCTTGGAGCTTGTTTGAATTAAAGGACTGATTCTACACTGTTCCTACCACACGCGGCATATGACATTGTTCCCGCGCTAAGATATAACTAGTTACGTGAAGTATGATGTGCGATAAGTATATCACGAGTTTGCGACCTCGCCTTAATCATGTAACGTGAGCTATTTGGTGTGATCAGTATCGCGGGAAGTTCCCCCATTAAATACAACAGCGCACTTAAAACTTTACCTAATCGGACATGTGCAGAGCGGCGTCAAGCAATCGCCGTAATCGTCAGCCCCGCTGACCTAACCAGGGTTGTATTACATCGCCAATGTGTCGAACAGTAAGCATTACCCGCGCCGTCGTGTGTTACCTACGCGCGTGACAGACGAAATTACGGCTGGCCACGATCTGGTGCCAACTACGTGACTAACTATAGCGCACGAGCGATAACCACTGAGAAACTTCTGTTTCAACATTGCTAAACGGGACGGAGTACAGCGACCGACTAAATACGTCGTAACGTAACGTCACAAAGTAATTTTGCAAATGGTTTCGCAATCGGGTGCATATATGTATGCCATTATTCGTATTTACCATACAAATTCACTTAAACGACGATATATTTCGTCGGATAGTTGCGGTACAAAGAATTATAGCGAGTTGGCTGTAAAGTGCATCTCGATAAAATTATTATTTTATTTTTTATGATAGCTTTGTAAGAAGCATTTTTGTTTGAAACTTGAAATTACATAAAGCTTTACTTTTTGTATATAATTACCAATTAAACAAATTTATATAATAAAAATAATTGTTCAACCATCAAAAAGTTAAATTGACAAAGAATTAAATTTCCATTTAAAAACTAAATTAAAACAATTTTTTAAATAACTATAGATAAAGAGAAAAATTTAAACTTAAAATACTCAAAATAACAATTATAAAATTAGCATTTATTAATTTTTTGCATTAAGTAAAATATTTCGAAAAACATACTGATCTGTCAGCGGAGTTATTACAAGTCTTCCCGTATTACCCAGATACTCGTAACCATATATGAAATGGGTATTTGTTTGTCGCACAACGCAATTGTCGATATCTGTATCCCAATAAAATCTTAGCTGCGACAGCCATTCGAAATCAGATACATCTTTGCAATCTGAAAAATTTGAAAAGTTTCTTTTTACTTTTTCTCAATTTCCCATTTATTTTCCTATTTATTTTCTCTTAGATCAAATTAATAGAGAAAAGAATAAAATAATTTAAGAAATGATATCTAACTCAAAGCACTGTTTTATTAATATGCATTACAAAAAATCTAATATATTTTATTTTATAATTTTATTTACGGAAATAGAAAGACACACTCAGAAGAATGCTGTAATTTTTGCATCAGAAATTTAAACGTCAATTTTAATCATAAATTGATTATTCATATCTTAACCAAAATTGCGAAAGAAAATGAGAGAATCTGGAAAATTAAAGAATTATGTATTGGGGAAAAAACATGATTTTCTCAAAGCATATTTTTGCCGATTTTATATTCTTTGAAAATACAAATCATCTCTGTCATACGGGTATATTTTTCGGAGCATCCTTTTTCAAGATACTATCAATATACAAATTTACGAGAGAGAACGCGCTGGCGTTTCCTCACTATGGCGCATCATATCACCGACGATATAACGCCAAAACGTGATGCGGTTGCGTCACATGGTCCTATAAAGTCCGTAAATTGTTGGTTACATCCGCATGTACATTGAGTACACGTTTGTAAAACAAACGCGTGGAGAACGAATATTGAATGGAGATAAAAAGAATAATTCTAGAGATAAAACTTATGAATCGAATTCAACTCACGCAGTTTATACATCTTTTCGATGACATCTCTCGCGTGTATCTCGATAACGATGATAGCCTTGAGCTTCAATCGATTCAGTCTGCTCAAATCGCTTCGTATAGCTTCCAGGTATTTGTCTAATGCCTGATTCTGCTTCTTCCTCAGTTTTCGCAACGGATTCCTTGAGTTTGCCATTCTTAAGGATAAACAAAATTAATTGGATTAAAAAATACAATGCATGCTATACCAATATACCGTTCTACGCTACATTTTGTAATTTATTCATTCAAGAGTTTCAAAATACCTTGAGACAAATTATATCTTTACACTTTATTTTCAAAGATACTGTTAAAGTAATGTGAGCATTGTAACTTATTTTTTACAGAATTATTAACGTAAGTTCCTCGTGCTTTTGTAAGGTTTACATGTCAACTGAAATAAGAGCAAAATAAGAGCAATGAGGTGGCATAGCAAGCGCGCGATGCACTTTTAGCAATATTGTTTTGCGCCATCCAACGCACCCAGCTCGTCCCTATTTTTCCGACTACGTGCGCTGTCCTTGGCATCTTTTTTTCCGAGGCACCCGTGCAAAGGAAAGATACGTTGGGCCTCGTGTAACACGAGCATTACAAGAGCTACCCGGGACGGGAGGGATTTTATTCGGTAGGTAGGGATACGCTTGGTCCGTAGGTATGGGTTAAATTATTCGCGGTACGGCTAGTATATGCAAATGAGGGAGGAAGAGTGCTGCCCGAGGTGCCGTCGCCGGATCGTACGACGTAGAATATGCAAAATTTCTCTTATTAGAGTTGCCGTGTCTCCTGTCTCCCTCGGCCATCCTTCCCCCCTCTCCCCCCGGTGGGAAGGCCCTTTCTCGCCCCGTACATCACCATCTCGCTGTCCCATTCCCGCCTCGGTGTCCATCAGAGCCGCCCTCACGTTTATCCCGTTTCCACCCTTTCCGAGCCGCCGCGTCGTGCCTTTCGGCCGACAGTTCAGCTTCAAGCTCGAGTCACCTCCAACGGCTCTGTCCGCCTCACGTTCCATAACTAATGTAGCTAAATTTCTCATAGGCAAGCTAGGGTACTCACTTGCAGTACAGCAAGGTGCGCGTGCAGTCGCTCGTCCATTGGATTTGAGTGGACGTAATGCCCAGTTGGCCCGGCCATTCTTTCACCCACCTGTCGCGTTTTGCGAGCATTTTTCGTAGCGCTGTCCGACACTGCCTCAACACTTCGCGCAGGGTCACCCTCATCGCGGCCTCTGCAATTGCCACTCACGTTTTATTCACGCACGCTATCCTACCCTCTCATCATCTACCTTCCCCTCCCCCCCCGTCTCCCCGATTCCCCGTGCTATTTCGTTCGCGCATTTTTATCTCTCGCAAACAGAAATCGAAGTTGCACGCTGCTACGCGCTAGGTAATTTACGGTGAGCGAGGACCACGTCGGGATTGAGCATAAATTATGGGCAATTTTCCACGTTGGCTTTTATTTACGCAGCGCCCGAACGTGCACTGTTGTAAACGTCACTCAGTGCTTGCGCTCAGAGCATACCATAGGATATTGTAAATATTTGATGAGTTCACGTTTACACGTCGCTGATCTTTCTCCTGGTTTTCTACAATATGCATACAAAAGAAGTTTGTCGTCTATCATCATATTTCAAATGGATGGGAAAGCCATTTTCGATTTTGCAAAGAGCAATTTACGATCTTACAAATTTCCGCATGCATATTTCTTCAATGCGCACGCGTTCACATGTGTAGATTTCGATGTGATAGTCGAGAATAGGATTTATGGGGATAATGCTATACTCGTAGAATAGTAACTACTACTGCATTTGTCATAGAAGATAATCGGATTTTAAGATTATATCGGGATGGTTGCAAATCGCTTTTGATGTTCCGTGTTACATTTAGATAATTCATTTATTTATTATACTTTATTGTTTTATTTTATTTTCTAAGAAAATTTGATAACTTTATTTCTATCTAAAAAAATTGTTAAAAAAGAAAAATAAACTCACCCAAGTCACACAACCAATATTCGACTTGACCTTCCAAGAGAACCGGTTCGTTGAACTCGATGTATTCTTCATCATTTGAGTACATACCGTCAGCCACATGTTTTCCAGTCAACGACTAACGATGGAAAAATTGCGATATCAAAAGTCTCGGGGCTTATGCGTTTACGCAAACGAAACAAGAGCGAGAGAGAGCGTGACGGCGGTGAATACCTTGGCAAGCTTCAAGGACTTGATGTTCGCGAAGAGCTTCCTAATGTGCGGCTGCATGAGGTCCGGCCGTTTAGCATGGGCCAGAATCTCCAATATATCATCGTTCGAGACGAAGTAGAATCTTGGAAATATGCGTCTCTTCGTCTCCAGATATTGCTCGAGCGCCAGTTGCAACGCCTCCAACTTGTCGTTGAGTTTGTTCAGGACTTCCAGCAAGCCAGCTAACAGGATTCCCATGATGGTGAGCGGAGAAAAAATGCAAATGCTTTCAATAGAATAGATTTACATTATTTTACAGTACGCGTACGCGTCGACTCGTCGCTCGATCTTTTATCCTCTTTTTTCATTTTTTCTCTCTCCGTCTTCTTTTTTTTAGCGCCGGAAACGGACAGATGGTTTGTACGTATCCATTTACATTAATACCCAGGCTCGGTTCTAGCTTAATTTTAATTCTAGTTTAACGCCCAGGCTGATCGTGCACGGTAAATATGAAATACCTGATTTAATAATCCTTTTTTTTCAGTTAATTAATCATACTCTACAAATATACTCAGTACAAACGCTTTTTTTCTAGCAAAATTGCTTGGAGTGCCTTATAACTGAAGAATATTTATAATACTGCAAGAAATTTTTATTTATTAATTTATTAAATTGCAACATTCTATTAACTTTCTAAATTTTTGTTAAATTGTTTTTAATTTTATGAATAATTTAATTGTTAAAAGTTAAAATATAACACAAAATAGGAATAAGTTATAATAAGGGATAATGGAAACTACAACAATAATTTAAGTATGTACGTTAATTGCGAAATATGAAAAAGAGAACAACATCTTGATAACATATATCTAATATTATATCCTTTTGCATATAGAATTGCAATTAAAGATTTTAATATATAAGTACAACTATTATACAAATACATAATATTAAATTGAATGAATATTTTTGTATCTAACAAATTTTTTAAAAAAATTAGATTACGCGTATATTTATATATGCGAAAACGCAAACAATTTATACAAGTTCTTTTAAAAAATGCAGTCAAATAGATTTCGTGTTATAATGCGATAAGATCTTTCTCGTAGCATTCCTTTGATAATACATACGTGGGATATGAGTGGCTGGCAACACCAAAACATGGGAAGCCATCCTTGACGTATGCTCAGCCAGCTCGCTTGTCACTTTGTCAAAATCGCTCGTCTCCTTCGGGAGTTGTTTCTTGATGTCCTCGGTGGTGAATATATTGTCGAGATACATGTATCCTTTCTGTACTACCAACATCATTTCCAAAACTTCACCGATCGTCGATAGTACCCGCTCCCAGTAGTCGACTTCCCGGGCGAATGGTTCTACGAACCTGGGAAAATCCAATATAGCCTATTTAATGTAGTATCATTAGAGATGTAAAAATTGGTTTAGCAAGTGCAATGTACCTCGTTGACTTCATGGATGAAAGTTGCACCTGATGTTCCTCCAAAGTTTGAATTATTTCATCTACACCTTTTAACTTGTATATTCCTTTATCTTTATACGGAACCATCGTAATTGGCATTGTTTCCCAAAAATGTTTAATATGTTGGAGTCCCTGAGGTATTTGTCATATTAAACTCACAATAATCGTTCCGCAGAATATTATTTTGTTGATTGTACTGTGACTCTTATAATTAACGATGACTTACAGTTTCAATGGCGAACTCCATTGTGGCCGCGTTAGAGATTTCGCTGATCTGCTCCGCAAAATTATGCATTTGCATTCTAATAATTGCATCTAGAGTAAAGTCCTCTGACGTCTCGTCGAAGTCTTGTGCAATCGTATCTTTAACTCGTTTCCAATGCCTCGGTTTCATTGCTGGATTTTTTAGTTCCGTTATTAGCGGTAACGTATGTCGAAATTTATCGATTCTCATCCTAAATATATATTTTTTAATATTTTAAAAATTATATAAAAAGAATAATTTTATATATAACTGTTATATATTTTTAACTGTATATATTTTTTTTAATTTAGAGAAACAGGAATATAAAGAATTTTTTACAATTTAAAGATGTCCTTTATTTGTAACTTTATAATAATTTATTGATATTAATTATTATAATTATGTTACTTGTAAAGATATTACAAAACTTATATTAAGAATTAAAAATTAAATTTAAAATTACTTAAAAAAGAATTTAAGAAAGAAATTTGCAATATTTAAAATTTAAGTTTGCGTGAAACTTCTATATGCAAAATGTTTATCTTCTGTAGACACTGAACAATGAATTCTGTGCATATGTCTCCTTTCTTCATTTTTCTTTGTTTAGTAAAATAAGTTAAATTTTAGCTGCTAGAAATTACGCAGCCATTTACAGAACGTGCACTTCGTTAGTTTCAGAAAGGTAGCGTCGAAAGGAGTGGCACAAGTATGCTCGGCAATTCGCGTAAGCCGTGCGCTTTAGCGGTGCAAAGGTTAATAAGTGCCGCTGTGTAACACGTGGGATTAAGCATTTTCTGTCCTTCGTGTTATTTCTTATAAGTTACGAGATACTGCATAGGTATCTCAGTATGTAGTACTTGTTGTTTTCCAACAAAAAAGTAAAAAAAAACGTTCGGTCTTCATCAGCATTGTTTAATCGTCGTTACATATGTATCTCCCAAATCGACAAATCTTTTTTTAGCCTTCTCGCTATATGTTATAAAAAAATAGCTCGCAAAAAGCTTTCAAATCCATTCGGTACGATGTTCGATATTCGATGTTACGACCAATCATCAACAATTACTGTCAATTACGGTCCCCGCACACGATCCCTCTCATCTTGCTGTCATTTTGAAAAATGGCTATCTCTCGTATGGACGCAGTTTATACACGGCCGACTGGTTTCTAACGAAAACCAGTTTCGCGATAAATTGACATCATGCTAAAGGATGGCTTGCAAATACTACTTTGTGCCTCGTGAAAAATGCACAAGTACGGCACATATTTACCGCGCGTTCGAAATTGGATTACAACTGAATCGCACCTGGTATTTTGGAGGATCTCCCAATTCTTTTCTTTGAGCTCCTTGCAGAGTTTCGTGAGTTTCCGGAGGAGGAGATTAGCGGTTGTGTCCATCTCTTCCAATTCTATCGTCCAGAAATTTCCGGTTTTGTAGCGTTCCCAAGCGTCATTCCATTCGTCCGTCAATTGCCACACCAATTCGATCATAGCTACATCCTTTGCAAGTAGAAAAGCGTCGAATAAGCACGCAGAGGCAAAGATGGGATATACGAATGACATTTACTTTATCGAGTTGTGCAAGTTCTTGAGAATCAGGATAACTTATGCCAAAAATCGTCAGCCGTGACTTTAGCAGGTTTTCTCTGTCTTTTAAGGAATATATTTCCTTCCAGAAAAAAGTTAACCAATTTAAAGCGTCTGTAACAGTGACGTAATAATAAATAACTGTGTTAACTAAATAAAATAAAATACTATTCCAGATGAATCAGTATTAATTTACTTATTTAAATTTATTAATTTATTTCTCCGTGATCAAGTTCCTATATTTAAATTTACTAAATGCTTGTTCGAGCATACGTGTCTGAGTATACATGAGATTACCATAATGATTGCTCGTGTGTTTATAAAAGCAAAATTCACGTAAAAAAACCAGTCCAGAATCGACAAACGCATTTCAAACAGTTGAACGCCGTGCAAAAAACGTGCTGCGAATAAATGGAATGCTTGCATTCTACAGCAGAAAAGGCAATTGTTAGGATTTTTGTTCTAATCTTTTGAAATTTTTACGCAAGTAATATTACAAATAAATACTATTATTGTGTTAACAATAAACTCTTTTAAACTATGGAATTCATGACAAAAAATTGTATTATTTTTATTAAAAATTTGTCCTTTGATATTCTGTGCATTTTATATTTAAATTTTTATTTTTTTATTTTTCTTATTTAATTAATACTTTTCAAATAAAGTTAAAACTTAAAATCATGGATATTGTTTCATATTGTTCATTGTCAGGAAAATTCATTATAGATTGCAAGATATAACTTAAGGCAAGATATACGTGATATCCTTAGGGGAGTGCTCGAAAAGATATGGTAGTTGATTTATGCACTCGACGCTATCTCACAACGAACGCGGATTTACACATTGTATAAGAACATGTAAACCAATTTACCCTTTGAATTCCAGTCGGACGTGAAAGGTCCAGTATCATTAAATCTGCGGAGCAAAGAGGATGTATCTTCTTCGAACATTGTCGCGTCGGTCAATAACGTTTGTTTAAATTCTTCCTACAACATTGATAGTTAAAAAGATAACTCGAGTTATTACTTGAATATTCATGCATAGAAAATCTAAAAATTTCTAGATTCTGATGTTACTTTATATGTGCAATTGTAATGATATTAAATAATTAATTAAATTAAATTAACTTTTTTTTAACATTTATAAACATAAAAGTAGAAAATTTACATTTTTTTTTCTGCTTTTTAAATTAAATATAACATCGATTTTATACTCAAAATATTCCTATATGTATGTTTCTATTATGTAAAACTGATTTTTTTCAAATTATATAAGAATTTCCAGTACAGCGATGAAATAACGTCAAAAAATTGGGAAAGTATTAATTGACATCTCATTTTTCTTTTTAGTTAGCGTTGATGCCAACGCGACTCAATTTTTTATTACAAAGTTTCTAGAAGTTTTCTTTTACCAAAGGAATATCGCACCTTTTTTTCAAGCAAAGTAACTTCGCACGTGGCAAGTAACTCCAAGTAAGCTGCCCAAGAGCGGTCGATGTCTTTTAATTTTCTCTTGAACTCATAAGTCAACGGTACTTCGTATTTTTCTGAAAACAATTAGGTGTTCTTCCATGATGTATTGTAAAAAATTGTAAAATTGTTATTAGATAATTACATAAATGTAAATAGATCATAATAATTAACATTTGTTCAAGAATTTACTGTAATAAATTTTGAAATCTGAAGTTAAAATTCATATCTCTAGCAAAGCAGCTAAGGCGTTTACAAAACTTGTAGCTTGTGCTGCAGATTCTTGAGCAATAATACATGGATCTTAAACTCCGCCGATTTTATGGCGCATCGACCTCCTTATTTAGCACGGAGAAACATTTAGAGGTTTACCCAAAGTTTGGTACTGCTCCTGGATCTTGGGAAACTCTTCCTCCTCTTTCGGAATCTCGGCAGTGAGCCTCTCGAACAATTGCAGCGCGGATTGCATGCTGATGAGATCCGTCGGTTCCTTCGTTATTCTGCAAACGAATGAATTCACGTACGATTCAGCTCGAAATTCAAAAAGACCCCGCGACAGGATTTATGGGAGTAACGCCTCGCGAGCAACGCCTCTCCAATGTTCCGCTCAGCTTGAGGAAATTTACATTAATAGTATCGATCGAGAACTGAAAACGAATATAACTGAAAAATTCAATTATGCAATAGAACGGAATAGATGATCACGCGAACACCCTACACAAAAATTTTCAGCATTGTAATAGGTAAACGGAAATGATGTGCGACCTGCGGTTAATTTATTTTCCAAATTGAAGGAATGTGGATTTGTATGTTTTTCTCTTCAAATTTAATTTTGTAATGAACATTTAAATATAAATTTTGTTAATAATTCATGTTGCTCGTAAATAATTGTATCCGTAAAAACGACAGACATGATTTGATGTTTTTAATTCCGTTCATCATTTCGCAAAAAACTATTAACTAGAAATATACGAATAAAAATCTTTGAGATATAAAATATTTTTTTCTGCAATCCTCTTTTCATATCACATTTTTTTTTTCAATTTTCAACGCAATCTTCTTTTCGCTTTGAATAACAACGCATGCGGGCAACTAACTTTGTGGAATTTTCAACGATGTAATGATAAACGTGGTCGACCATTGCATCGGTCATGCGTAACAAAAGTGCGGTGAGTTTCTGTTGCCAGATTGAACAATGTTCGATGATAGTGGCTTTCAATCCATCAAAATTTATATCTAGGAAATGCACTGTCGTCATCGTTTCCTGTAGTTGGACGTTATTCATCATATCGAAGTATTTACTTATGTGCATATCAAAAGATGCCGCCGTTGGTTTTAATTTTTCGAATCTAATTTACAAAATAAATGATAAACAATAATAGTTTCAAGCAAAAACTTAAATTGTATAAATATTTTATATTATATTAAAATTATATTATTAATTTTCTCTCTATTTATTAATTCTTTAAAAATATTTATAAAAATAAAATTATAATATTTTTAAACAAACTTAATATAGTTCTAAACATCAGCAATTGTAAGTTATTTAAATTAAATAATATATAATTAAATATAGATATTGTAAAAAATAAAAAATGATTCAAAGTATTACAAGCAAAAAGACTATTTTTAAATATGGAATACTTTTTATTGCAATATTTATTACCTTTGAATATATAAATCTTTATTCACCTCCCATACCTCTTTGAAAAATTCCCAGGTTTTGAGATAATTTTGCACGTGAACAAAACAATAATTTACTTCTACAAATTAATAAATTAATATTATATTCATCTTGCTAATGTGGGATAAAGTTAAAAATAATATTGGATCACTTAATATTGAATTGATACTATATATTAATAATGCAATAAGATATTTTTATTAGATTTTAGAAAATTATATTGAAATGGAAATTTTAGCTAAATAAAGGTGATTTCTGATTAAACATAATTAAAGATAATTCGAAAATTAATTTTAATATGACAAAATATAACAAAATGTAGTTAATGCAAATGTAATTAGAAATAAAATGCAAGAAGACAAATTTTTATGAATTACAAATTTATACAACCATTATTGAGTTTCTGTTGGAGTTCAATCAATTCTTTGTCCTGGTTATACAATTTGTAAAAGAAGAAATCCTTCTCTGAAAGCATTTGGAACTTCTTAACTAGTCGTGAGATATCTTTTAAGGGTTCTGACAAAATATCTAAAATATTTCCTATCACTGTGGCTATCTCCAGGAGATTCGGCATAAAGTTTATCTAAATAAATTAATAGACTAGAATTTTTCATGTTTTTTTATATTTTTTTAAAATAAATTTTTTTATAAAATAATTAGTTAAGATATTTTTGACATGTTGTCAAATTATAAAATGTTAAATTATTATTACCATTCTATATGCACGACAACTTAATGATTAAACAACGTAAGTAATACTTGCATGGAATGTTATACATGTTATGCATAGTTATGGACATACTTTGTTATCGATAATATCTGCTTGCGTTAATAGAAGAGGTGAAGGTTCTGTCGTGTCAGTACCATGAAGAGCTTCGAACATGATGGTCAAAGAATTCTTTAAACACAATCTGATAGCTTCTTCAATTAGGATATCGATTTTCATTAAATAACCTTTCCATTCCACGTAACTCTGAAAAGAAAGAAGCAATAATGAAATTAAACATGTCAATCAATTTAAGAAACATATTGGAAAATTAATTTCTTTTTATACATGAGATATTTAGTTTTAAAAATAGAAGGTTTATAAAATCAATTAAAATTTAATAAAATAAATTAAAATTTGAACACACAGGTATATAAAGAAATTTTTATATACAGCGTAACTAAATTAAGTGTAAATTTATAAATAATATGCAATTTACAACAAATTGTTTTTTAAGCTTTATAAAGTTAAATTTTTATTATGGCAAATATTAGTTTTTACCGTCGAGATTAATAATTTTTAATTCATATTTCATTAATTATTGAAAAAGTATAATCGAAGTATGATCGATAAATATTGGTTTATATATTATATATATATATATATATATATATATATATATATGGTTTACTTTATTTATATATAATTAATATCTGATAATAACTCAATCTGTTTATTGATAAATTAGAATAAATTTAATATGAGAATAATAAATAATATGTTTCACAGAGTATTTACTTAATGAATTTGTAATTTTTTGAGAATTTTTGAATTAACTGAGAAACTACGTGCATATTGTGGCAGTCACGTTACAGAGCGACATATCATAACATGAATCTACCATAAGTACGTTCCTTACTTCTCCAACTTTAGTTGGAGAATTGCTTTGTATAGCCTGAGGGTGTGCAACATACATCCGTTTCCTTCACGGATGTTCTTTCGTCGAAGTTATTTGATCATTTTTACGTTTGCGTAGACTTTACAGAAAAAATTCTGACACAACTCGTCAGAAATTTGCCGCAAACTAGCAAACTAGCAGTGCCTTGCGGCATTTACTCAAAAGTTTATAGAAAACATTTAAAATTACATAATTTGCCATAAACTTTTAAAAGTAATTTGGTAAAAAAATTTGTGAAAAATATGACTTTCGATATAGATGCAAGTTTGTATACATAAATAAAAATGACTTCTAGAATGATAATACAGACAGCAATCTTCAATATACAATATTAAAATAAAAAGTGCATTTTTATTTTTAGAGTGATAAAAATATGGCATATTTCATCAAGTTTCATAGTTGCACCGAGAAAGCTATACCTCTTGTATCACATTCTTGAAGCCCTCGTAAATCTCCATGACGTACAGAAATATCATATCGAGTCTTTGAGTCATAACTTGGAACGCCTCGTCTCTGGAAAGTGAGAAAGTTCGACCGATGCTCGCTCACCAAGCGGTAAGTTTCAGTCACGCGCCTGAATTTGCGACTGCACAATGCGAAATGGAAATCCTACCTTACGTGCAAAAGTTCCTTCTCCAATGCAGACAATGTGTACGTGTAATTAACCCTTATCTTGATCATTGGAGTGTTGCAAATGTTCTCGCAGATTCTTACAATTTCAAAATTCAAATTCTTAAAAGTATCGATGAATTCTTGAAGCTAAAAAAATTAATTATTGAATGTCTTTATTTATTATTTAATTTGTGCCACAACATTATTTTAATAAGAAAATTGATCGTGTTTAATTTTGGTCGATTTGGAAGCTATAACCCCAGAAGAAAAGAAAGCAAAAAGGAAATGGTAATTTCTTTGAAAGAAATAAATGTAATGTGACTTAATGCTATTGGGATCAATATCTTGACATCTCGCCTCTACAAACACGTGTGTCCACATAATAATTATTCTGTTTCTGCAGATTATTCTGTTTCTGCAGATTATTCTGTTATACAGAGGTCCATAATTAATTGTTCAAATGCAAGTAGATAGCGAACGAAACTTCTCTTGGACAGTGCAAAATTAAATTTTACCACGAGATTACCGTACATATTGTATGAATTTATATGGACTTCGCACATGGACGAGGTAAGAGAGTCTAAACGTACATTGACCGTTTCGTTGAAACAATTCTCGATGTACGAGTCCACGTAATCCGTGTTCCACGTCAGCTTGGTTAAGCCGGGATTGATCTTCCGGTCGAGCTGCCGAATTAATTCGCGAAACAGCGCACGTTCTGTCAGCGACAATGCTGAAAAATAGAAGTTTCGCTACGTTGCAAGAATATTTCGCTACCATTGCGTGTGACTGCAAATACGGAGAATGTCGCTTTCATCGCGCGCATTACGGACATATACGCTGTTTGAATCGTGTCATCATGATATTTGCATAAGCACTCACATTTCAGCCGAAATACTTTTTCAACGTAGCTTAGAAGAAATAAATTTAATTACTGTATATTCATTATTCATATACATACGGATATACTTATTAAATTATAAAATGCAATATTTTGTATAAGTTGTTTGTATAAAATTTAAAATAATTTCCAAAAATTGCAATACAGAATAAAATGTAAAATTCCTTAATAAAAAATTCGATCACATATATTTTTGAAGAAAATTTAATAAATGTAAATAAAATATCTCATTTCTATTATAATTATTTAAATATAATAAAATATTATTTTTCATTTTTAACTTTTCTCATAAAATAAATTTCATTATAACAATTTATAATTGAAATATGGTTAAAATTTTGCTGACATATTCATATTTCGTCGCTTTGACGAAAAGAACTCTTTACTAATGTTTTCTTTTACAATTTATCCCATATAATTATTCGATAAAATAATTATTGTAAAAAATAATTATTGTAAACGGTAAACCTTCGATGATCTTGTTATATGCCAGAGTGACGGCTAGAACACTCTCGTAGACAAAATGCAGCGTATTCCACTTGTCGTATACTATTTGTATGTGCACAGGTATGTTAAATTTCAAGCTGATCCAATAGGAACACTCGTGGCAGAGACTCAGGATATTGGAGTCAATGTTAGACTCGAGTAGACCAGGTTTGCTGTCGCTATGCCGCATCAGGTAGCGATCGAGTCGCGCGCGTGGGTTTTCTCCGACATAGTGCAGCCATTTTACGTACAGACTTTTCATGGATTCCTCAATAGATCTGATCATGATGTCTTCCTGATGATAGATCTCCTCACTCATACTGCAATAAGGCATCCACTCAGCCGTCTCCAGCATCTTTCGCGTCGATAACAGGCGGTCACTTTTCAAACGAAGATTCAACGCTCTGCCGGCGTAATACGGCGCGATCGAAGAATATTCTTTTTTCTCATTCAAGATCTCCTGCTTCGTCCGTTGAATATCGTCGGCGAAAATCTGCCACACCTTGAAAGTTAATAATTTTAAATGTTACTTATTGCTTGATGACCTTAAAAATGATTTTAGTTATTTCAAAATATGTAAAATGTTAAAATAATTTATTTGTCATCATTTATTTGTCATCATTTAAACAGAATATATATTATAAAGCAATATATATATTAAATTCTTTCTTTTTTATATATAAATTTGATATTTTTTTCTACAAATACTATATAAATACTACAATTTACAATTAAAATAATAAATTTTGTATTAAATATAAAATACTTTTGCAAATGTTGTTTTATGTTTTTCGAGAATAAAAAGTTATTTTAAAATTAATAAATTGATAAATTATTTATATCATTAATTTTTTATGAAAAATGTCTTTTGCTTCCGCAACATCTTTAACAATTTATTTTTAAAATAAGATCAAGATTATTATAACTGATTTAATCTTTTTTTAGAAATAACTTGTGTTTACAAATCATTGATTTCTTCTTACGCTACTGTTTTTGCTATCAAATAATAATTGCAAATTCTTGCGATTGAAGTAATTGTAGAAGCTCCATAAATTCTCGATTCCTTCTTGAATATTATTAACGTTCATGAAGACGATGGCTATCAAGTTTTCGATCATTATCTCTAAGTCCCTCATTTCAGCACGAAATACGATCATATCGTCGTGCCATGTAGATTCATGAACGGCGAATATCTTGTGTGAATTTGCTTCGATTTTACTCAAAGCGTCATAAAAAAGTTTCTCAATCTTTTGACATACTTTTTCATGCTCTTCGCCATTTGTACCACCGAATTTAGGACTTAAAATCTGAATAGTCTCATCCAATCTTGAAAAATAATATTGGAATTTGTAATCAGCATTCTCTTTGATATAAAAATATTAATAATTTGTGTAAATTCTAATTCTAGAATAATCCAGTTATAAAATTTTGTATTTTGTAAAAATTAAAATTATGTGATAAACTATGTAACATTTATTTAACAGTAATATTTTATAGAATAGCAGCCCTGTAAAAAAGAGCTGGAATAAAATTGTTTCTTATGTTTCTTATGTTAGTCATGAAAAGAAAAGTAAAGTATAAAATTAACTCTTCTATGTACACAGCTAAAATTTGAGAAAAGATATTTATGAATAAGAAATAAAAATAAAGATAGTGTTGTATTTTTATCCTTGCTTATACATTATTTAAACCTTGCAAAATCAATCATTGCTTGACAAATCTCGATCATATCTTGACACCTGTCGATAAAAACATCGACGTAACGAAATATGTTCTTTGTGTCTAAGTTCCAAGAGTGATACGTGAGATTGATGTGAGCGTTCGCGATCTAGAACAGAAAATATTGAAAAGAGTTTGTTTCTTTAAGTAAACAATGAACAAATACATTAAAAGTACAAATTAAAATTTGTTTTAACTGAGTATCGGAGTCAGCGATATTCTTGGTATTGGAATTCTCTACTCTGTTAAAGATACAAAATAGAAAGAAATCAAAGATTTGCTATATCACGAGAGTCAAAAAAAATGTTAGGAAAAACATCTTATTATTATTATTCGTCTATGCAAGATATTATACTAAGAGGCTCAACGTAAAAATGCCAAGGACTGAGAACATGCGTTAGCGATCCGTAAAATCCGCGATTGCACAGATTTCTGTACAAAAGTCTAAAAAGTCGTGTCATCTATCCCTTCGGGCACATGGCGTACTAACCCCTAGCGCAACTCGAGAACAAGTAGTCGAAAGAGCCGGCGCGTCACATCGTTTCCCAATTCCCACCTCTATTCTAGCTTATCTGCCCCCGGGAAAAGCGTAAGTCAGTGTTATATTGCGATCTCCACTTAAAGCAAAAGCTTTTTTTCGCCGCTTTGTACTTCTGCAAGAAGCGTCCTTCGTGGATCGTCATATATATTTTCTCTCTCTCT